CGCTTAGAGCCCACGCTGACCACTGCGGAAACGACGAAGGACAAATATAAACTGAAAGCGAGGATGACAGGCTATGCGCTAAATATCGCAATAGGTGGGTGACTGGTTATCAGACAGACGCCGTGACTGGTCGTGCTAAAGGAAGTCGTTGGATCAGGTCTGCAGGTCCTGCTGGGTGCACTTACAACGGCGCTATCGGCTGCGACGTCCGGTAAACAGGTCAGATTCCAGCTCATCCATGACTTGCTCGAGCTCAATGCCTTACTCCTACTAGACCTCGATCGTTATATCAATCCTCGGTGGGAACAAAAGAACTTTCCCTATCCATCCATCCTGCTCACTTTTTCTTCTAGGAGGCGTCTCAACCATGGTAGCCTCATACCTCGCCCGAGCTCGTGGTTCCAACGAGCCCCAGCGATCCTTAACGCGCGTGAAAGACCTCGAGCAGTTCATCCGAGAGTGCCGGGCATTCGATATGGACCACGGGCACGAAACGGGACACGAGTGTGATTCGCGATTGGAGAATTTCAGGCGACGATACGAGGAGCTTCTGGGGAATACGAATAGGTAAGTTCATCGTGATTGTTAATGAAGGAAATAAGCTGAACGCTCCGCTGCACAGGGAGCAAAAGCACAGTACGCCCGAAAATACTGGACAAAACCCCAAGGTTTCCGTGATGCCGGGAATTGTTTGAACACCAGCGAATTACGGTATTCTTACATGGCGTCTCTCTGTCGACAAATCAACGACAAATATCATGGAGACACACGTGAAGCCCGCGTATATCTGTATCTATACTACACCGATTTACACTGGCTTACCTCTGCCTTCCTGTGAAATTGATAGACTCGTAATCGTCTCTCTCACCACTTGACGTCGCAAGCGAGAAAGTGAGATGGGAGAGACTAAATTTGGATCCATTTGGCAGGAAGCGCGGGTGGCTGTGTTATGATCCGGTGAATATCACGTGTGTATGTCTCATACTTTCCCGCATCGCTACGTTTCTTAGTGCAGGATTTACTACCGCAATTGTGATTCCCATCGGCCATAGCACCCGGATTACGGATCGTGCATCATTGGATGTAGCCAAGGCCAATCTGAAGGGTTCGCTCATTGCAATTTTGCGCTCACGGTTGCTGCATCAGCACAGAACGTTCAAGGCTTAGACGATGAATCATAGGCAGAAGCCAAAGCTCTCTTCATTCCCTTCAATGTTGACCATGTCACCATCTCACTCTCCGCAGTCGCTGCCCACTTCACGTCTTGGACATCGGATAAGCCTATTGTCACAAACGCAAAAGGGTCCGACCTGGCGTCTGTGTTGCTTTTGGCGAGCCTACACAATAGAAGCGTCCATGTCACTGGTGTTCTCACGAGCGACGATTTGCTGTTAATTTCTCTCAGCAAGACTAAGCACCTGAAAGTCACATGCGATGTGTCTGTCTACTCGCTCTTCTTCAATCGTTCCCAGTTTCCCAAGTCAGTATGCCTGCCAACCACAGAAGATCAAAAGGCAATATGGTCGAAACTCGAGACGATCGATGCTTTCTCTGTTGGTGCAACCCCTTATCTTCTGGCTATAGAAGAAGACGAAATGACTTCGCCATGGTCGGCTGCAGTAGCGGATGGACGTCTCACGCTTGAAGATATTCGTCTCCGCTTGCACGATAACCCGGTTCTCATCTTCGGACTTCCCGAACAATCTAACACCACAGTTGAAGTGGTTGTAGGTCGTAAAGCTCTGTTCGGAAAACGGGAAACATGCTGGTCGCCAGTGGAGAAAGGTTTCGTTACGGGTGCCATCCATAGGGTCATTGTGCATGGCCAGACGAATTTCCTTGATGGCGCTTTGACTTCATCGCCCAACGGCAAAGACATTTCGAGCGCGATGATTACCCATCCTTCTGTGGCGGCTTTGGTATCACCAGCGCTGAAGGCAGCTGAGCCCGTCTCCTTGGGTGCGATTGCGACGTTTGCTATGGGGCCACCTATGGCTCCACCGGGACACCCAACGATACAAGGACCACTAGCATGGAATATCACCTCCCATCTTCTTCCCCATCCATCATTCCATCGTCGGCACATTCTCTCCGTGAAACAGTTCACGCATCGGGACATGTATGACTTGTTCTCCCTGACTCATGAGATGCGTCTGCAGGTCGAGCGTAACTGGGATCCTCGACGTTCTGAAAGGAAAAGTGCTATGCACCTGCATTCTACGAACCCTCGACACGGACCAGCTCGTCGTTTGATGCTTACCAGGTCGATCACGCGATTCTGTCAAGGGCCAAAGAAGATATGATCGTCATGCATCCATTGCCAAGGCGAATGGTAAGCCATCTATGAATTTGCTGTGTAGACATGCTCGCTAACTTTGAACCATAGAAATCGATCCTGAATTTAACTTTGACTCACGCCGAGCTGTGTAATTCCGACAGATGCGCTACGGCCTTTTCGTGAGTATCTTTTCGCTTGGTTGAATATGAAATCGTTGACCCTCTACCCTAGATTCGTATGGCCCTCCTCATGAGCGTCTTTCTGTAGATGGCAGACTTCCAAAATTAATAATAACATCTAGACAGCCAGAATGGTTTGTACTGCATAGAGAACGAATTAGTAGAGGCACAGGCATTTACGATCTCCGGATGGGAGTGACAATCAAGAACCACATGTACAACTATACAAGTACAAGAAGCTTACCAATGCGTCTACGTAACATTCTGCCAGTCAACTCTCGAATCATTTGATGCGCAAGAAGTTACTCAAATGATTTTCTATTCAGTGCATCACCCTAGTTCACACTGAGCGCTTTAATGAAACGGTGGCAGCGTACTATAGAATCAAAGACTTAAGGTTTGTCGGTTGAAATCAGCTCCTGCAAACATGCGGACGCAATGAATCTTCGTCTCCGAATTATGGATATAAGTATGTTGCCGTACGCATGTAGCTGATGAATTCTCTCGCTTAGAATACTCTAAATACCCGCCCTTTCATCGGTCACTTGAGCTATGGATCACTCCCAGGCTCTCAATCCTCAGGACCGGCCTGGTACGAACTCTCAGTCTCAGGCCCAAGGCAGCTCCTCCCCGGCTGGTCTCGGACCTACCATTGCAGCCCCAGTACCCATTATTGGTCCAGAGAGGAACTCGACGTACACCTCTATCAGACACAGCTCACCGCTGTCCGACCAAGGTGACGCGCCCCGGTCGGACACGTCGTACGCGCCCCTTCGCAGCGCTCAGAGCCTCTCGAACAACCCCTTGCCTCCTGTACCAGGTCAGGACCCACTCTCACCCGGGCGGAAGCCCTCACGACGATCCGACATTGACTGGATCATCCCTGTCGATACCAGGTTGGAGAAAGTGGGTCTGGCCTCATGGAAAACTGCGTGTGGCTAAACACACGCTTTGCAGGCCCCACGTCCTAAAACAGTAGGCGAGCGCTTACAGCCCACCCTGAGCACAGCAGAAGCGGCGAGGGAAAAATATATTTCGAAAGCGAGGATGACAGGCTATGCACTTAATATCGCGATAGGTGGGTGGTTGGTTTCAGACACACGTAACTAGTCGTGCTGAAGTCGTTGGATCAGGTCTGCAGGTCCTACTGGGTGCACTTACGACGGGCCTATCGGCTGCGACGTCCGGTAAACAGGTCAGATTCCATGTCTTTCGGTATGAATTGCTCGAGCTCAAGGCCTTACTCCCACCAGACCTCGATCGCCATATCAATCATCGGTGGGAACACAATCCATACCCATCCCTCAGAGCCGCACTTACACTTCTTGTAGGAGGTATTTCAACCATGGTAGCCTCGTACCTCGCCCGAGCTCGCGGTTCCAATGAGCCCCAACTATCCATAACGCGCGTAAAAGACCTCGAACAGTTCATCCGAAAGTGCCAGGCATTCCAAATGGACCACGGACACGATACTGGACACGACTTCGATCCGCAGCTGGAGACTTTCAGGCGACAATACGAGGAGCTTCTGGGGAATGCGAATGGGTAAGTTCATCATGATGGTTAGCGAAGGAACTAAGCTGAATATTTTTGCTGTGCAGGGAGCGAAAGCTGTCACCGCCTGTATAGATGATACCCATGATTTATTCGGACTGTACTATCATACTGCAATGCCATCACTAATACTCGACAAGGATCTGATCTGCATGCTATATCAAGAGAACATTCACCTTGTCCTTGTCCGATCACCTCTTACCCATGGTAACGTGCCTTTTTTTCATCCGCGCGTCGCGTTGATTCGCTGATTATTTTGAAAGTCCCTAGGAACACGCCACAAGACGCATATTCCGACCTCAAGTATTAAATCTGTGGAACCGACGCCACAGTGCTTTACTATTCTTCTTGTCACGCCGAGTTTTGGATCATCTTAGTCGCTGAACTATCATCCGAAGTCTCTGCTGCTGATGTACATCTGAATTGAACCCCTCCAGACTAAAATCAGTATTGGGATGATTCCAAATGCACCTGTTCTTGTGTGATCGCAGTAGCGTCGACATCTGCACCGACCATCCTCAACGCCAACCCTGTGTGCTCCCCGTTCCCGATTCCGGAAACACGGCGTCTCTACCGGTACACTTGGCAGCACACCTTGGGCGCGCCGCTCCCTCCCATGCGATGCGTGGCTTCAAGCAACCTTAGACTGGAATAAGACGTAGCATACTTATCATCTCCACCCCTCGCATTCACACTTAGATCCGGAATGCAGATAGTGTGAACTCACTAGTACTTAGCAATCATAGACTCAGTGGGACTAGTAATTTAGAATCACACTTCTTACAACGTCTTTTGTCTCCCTCAATAACATTTAGAACAGTGAATAAAATGTATAAAAGCGCCAAGATAAAAAACCTATAAAAAAATCTGATACTCTACTAAGTAGGTTACTTAGTCCTTGGAGAAGACTCCGAGCCTCTGAGCCTTGAGGTTTCAAACCGTTTCATGCTAGTCTCGAATGGGATTGAAAAAGCAAAAATAAGAGTTATGGGCCTGACTGGGAATTGAACCCAGGACCTCCTCGAAAGTTAGAAAATCACCCTAACAAGGAATCATACTACTAGACCATCAGGCCATAATAATAAAGGAACTTTTAGTATTGATACAGCCAAGGGCAAATATGGCTGTGCCTCGGCAATCACCGGTGGACGTGATTCTGTTTACTCATGACAGCTTTCTTTTGACCTGAACACCGTTGTTTGTGATGAAGAACAAGAACCGACAAACGAAATTTCCCGTCGTGAGTTCGCGTCCTGTATGATAATTCCCTGGTGACCAGCTCGAGTAGGCCCGGATAAAGAAGATAATGCAGAAAGACGAAGAAGTAGGCAAGGTAGCGCAGGCCACACCCATCGTCATATGTACGTCTCCCAGGCTCAAAACACTGGATACCTGCTGACGCATTCACACCAGCGAAAGCCCTGGAGATGTTCCTAGGGCTCATCATCGAAGAAGCGCACAAAGTCACGTCGGAACGGGGGTCGAAGAAGGTGGAGGCGTATCATCTGTGCGTGGCATTTCCTGTCTGCTGTGTCCATCCATATTGACGCTGGTGTAGGAAACACGCCGTGGAGACGACAGAGATGCTGGACTTTTTGAAGGAGATTGTAGAAGGCGTACCGGACCCTTCGGCAGGTGGGACGATTGACATGGACGTGGAGCCTGCTGAAGGTGGGAAGAGGAAGAGGGGAAAGGCGAAGAAGGAGGGCGCCGCAGCGAAAGATGCGAATGCTGAAGGTGCCCCGACAAAGAGAAGGAGGAAGAAGAAGGGCGAAGAGGAGGTAGCCGTAGTGAAGGAGCAGGAGGAGGTGAAGGACGTGGTGATGGAGCCAGAGCCAGAGCCGGAACCCGAACAGGAAGAGCAGGACGAAGGGGAGGACCAGACGATGAATGGTCATGGAAATGACGACGACTGGGACGGAGACGACAAGCCATTCATGCCTAGACGGTAGTATTAAATTTAAATAATGTTACAGAGCTCAGATATTCTACTTTCAGACGAGATCGACATTTGCGGCCCGTACTCCCGGACCACGGTTGTCTTTCACCATGAATACCTTTCCCCCAGAGCTTGTAGAGATAATCGTACATGACATATGGACCTCTGAAATGCCCTCATTCGTCCGAAAATCGTCCATGACTACTTGCCCCCGGATTAACCGAACGTGGAAAGCTGTCTATGCCCCCTGTCGCCTCATATGTACATCACCAACCTCGCATTTCTGGACTATCTATGCGACATTTCCCGGGACCGAAAATCTATCATCTACCATGATTTTATCCCCCGGCTTACCCGTACCATTACCTGCTTCGTCGACCTCCGGACAAATAAACGGGAAAGCGCGGCCAATCGTTATCTCGTTGACCTACCCAATATCCGTGGTTTCCAAACTCTGTTCAAACTTGTTCAATATATATCCTTCCAGATCGTTTGGATGGGTATGGGAAAAGATATCATACCGGTATTATCACCGCTCCATGGTATTCCTGTTCGAGTCCGCTACGACCGGTTCTTTCCCAGTAATGCCTCCCCGCACCACCACCCCCGGAAGACGCGAATGCGTATATATATTTCCGTGAAGGACTGGGTCTTCTGGGAGACCAACACAACATACTGGTTACATACGACGCCCAAATTGCGCAACGTCGGTGTCCCTAGATACTTCTTTACCACTGAAGTCCCGGAGTCATATCGTGAGACGGTACGCCGTGGTGTCCGTCATATCAGTCACACCACGTACATTTCTGAGACGGAGCTTGGATCCAAGGAATATCAATCAGCGCTTGTAGATGGCTTCCAAGGGACGACCCAGTACGGTACTCAGTATGTGATCAGAGTCACTTCCATCTGATCAGTCTAACATCCCCACCTGTAGGGCTCAGGTGTCTTGCCAGTCTCTTCTACGGTTGGGAATTCAAACGCTTGCAGGCATCTTTGCCCGCAGTAAATCATTAAACTAGGAAGCGTATATCCTTAAGGTCGACCCTCCTCGAGAAGAAGAATTTGCTCTAAAGGAATACTATGCTTCCAGTATGATCCATGAAGTTACCTGTACGTGAAAATGTTATTTGAATGTCATTGCAGTTGTCGAATCCATTCTCGACCTCCGGACATTCCAAATAAGATGGTTTTTTGGTTGCATGTCGGTGTTGTGAGCAGATCTTCTTTTTTCAACCTCTTTTGCAGATCAGATGACGACACAGACCTAGTGCCACGTAGGAGGGAGGGACGTTCTTATATCTCATGCGCTTCTACAACGTCATTCAAGAAGTTTAGCGGCGCCAGCCTTGTCATCCATAGTGCTACGAACAGCCAAGTTTTATTGAAGACGTCTGATGAATTCCCTGGATTCACTTCGTGAATCGCCATCCGAGGGATACCACGGTCTCGTGTTCTGGGACACTTTTGGAACAGTCTCCTTCGCCGTCAAAGTTCGAGTTGCTTGCCTACGGGGCCCTATATCATTCTGATCCTCCTGCTGCGAGACCGAGGCCCAGTCCTGAATCCCTTCAACACATTCCTTATCTTGCAAGGCTTGGAAACGCTCAGTCTTCATGGGAAACGCCACAGCGAAAACGCTTTGACACTGACCAAGTAGTAGGAGAAACAGTCACAGGTTACATGGGTGTCGTCTCGAACACTCTTGGCGGGATACCAATGCTTTGGGGTCAAGGGAGGACTCGCCGTTGCAGGAAGCACGCTCGTTGTCAACCTTAAGCTAACTCAGTTGGTAACTCGTAACGAAGCATGGCGGTATTGGATTCTTAACTCGGTGATAGGTGACGCTAAAACACTTGTTATCCCTCTCACTAGTACGAGGGGTAGGTTTACGCACATGTTTCTTGCGAACCCTGGTTCCCCGATCTAAGTATCATTTTTACTAGATTCGAAGCAGGGCTAGAAGCAGAGTCAAAGACAGTAGCGTGAAGCAATTTAAGGGCGTATCGAATGTACTAACTGTATACTTTTATGGGATGGCTACATATCGTCCCTCTACGACTGTAGGATGGCGGGCGAGATCTAAATGGTGGGACATATACCAGTATGATAGTTTTGTACCTGGAATCTTGTCGACGGAGCGCACAAGTATACATCATGCGATTCCGAATTTAAAGTCCTGGAAGTTTAAGTTAACTTAGCGCACGAGCTTCGAAGCCGAGAATAGGTTCGAGGCAGTCAATTGCCCTTTGGCTCTATGTGATTAGCGTTTTCGGTGCCTAAACAAGAGGAAAATATTCATACTGCGGGTGACTTACTTGAATCAAATCCTAAGCAGAACCCAAAAAGTATGCAATTTTCGTAGAAGCTGGGCGGATTTCTCTTTCATAAACATCCTCGACAGGTTCATTTATAATTCGGGTTATCTACCGGAGGGTGAAGAAAGAAAATGATAAGATTCAACGATTGGACATAGCGAGGAACAGAGCAAGAGCAAGACAACAGTGCAGAACTAACAAGCAGGATCAACGAGCCAAGTTCTATCTAACGAAGTAAGGAGTCACGTATATACAGGGCAAGGGCAGGACAGATGTATAGTATATATATACCGCATTACAGCAACGCTGATCAGACTGAAGATAAACTAAGGCGAACAGGAGATGCGAAAGAAGTTCAAGAGTTATAATCACCAGTTCAGACGTTCCAAGGAAACTCCACCAAAGTCGGAGCGAAGCTAAAGTCGACATCCTCAAAGGATGTGGAGGAGCTGTCCATGTTGTTGGAGAAGGATGCTCGTAGGAATGCATCCAGATCGAACTCGGGGGGGAAAAAGCTGTCTAGGATCGAACTGTTGTCGAGTAACGTCATGGAAGCAGTCGTATCATCTCCATTAATGTCCAAAAATGGTGGTAAGCCCGAAGGTATATATAATTCGCCATGGACCAGAGGATCACGAAGTCGACTCAGGGCAGGATTGTCCCATTTCCTCACCGGAGGTAGGGTATCGCCTGCATGAAGAGACTTCATGAGACCGCGGAGAGTTGGTCGATCCAAAGGTTTATGAGCCCAACATTGTACCATGAGTTTCCACCATAAATCAGAAAATCCAGCCGTCGCCAGATTTCTAGGGGGTGGAAGATGCTTCCGTTCATGGCAGACCGTTATGGCGACGGCGGCATCATTGAGGCCGCTCCAGGGTATTGACCCATCAAACACCTTATAAACGGTTAGTGTTCATCAAGAGCGGCCCCTCGCCTGAGAAACGCGTACCTCAAAATACACACATGCAAGTGAATATACATCAGCTGAAAAGCTGTTTGGGCTACCCCTGAGGACTTCTGGTGCTTGCCATCTTACGGTACCACCCTTGCGCGACGATGACGACGACGAAGTTGCAAAAGTTGTGCCACCCATCACAAATGATATACCGAAATCCGCGATAACTGCTCTATAGTCATCAGTGATCAATACATTGTCCTTGTTTTAGATCAGCAAGATATCGTCTGCGAAACAAGCTTCGGAACGCACTCCTTTGAGGTCGCCATGAACGATAGACAGTGTGTGCAGGTAATCCATACCACGTGTAATATCTAGAGCCTGGTACTTATTTATCAGATTTATTGATATGAAAAGGGAAATCGGTCAGTTCTTACGAGTTTGCCACGTCTATCAGGATAAACAGTTCTGTTTATATATTGACGAAGAGATCCGTTGACCATGAATGGTGACACGAGACAGTAGGTAGATGGATCAGAATTGCAAAAAATGCCGTAGAAAGGTAGGACATTGGGATGATCGCACTGCCTCCAAACGATGGCTTCTCGCCTGACTTGCTATATAAAAAGAAATGTTATGCTGATTCAAGTCGTGGCGGAATACCGATAACAGCCTACCCGCAAAACTTTCTTGATATTATTGTCACTTGTGAATATCCTCGCTTGTTTGACAGCCACTTCCACTCCCTCGATTTCACCTCTCCAGAGCTCACCGAAATGCCCTAGAGCAAAAGCATGATCTCCCGTCTTTTTGAAGCCTCTAAGCACGAGACACCGAGGTACGCAGTCGTGGGTGCGTGTCAACCTGAGAGAGGTTTTGAGAAGAATGCGCTTGGATATCACCGGTATTCCCGGTACATC